GTCATTGTGTTGAGAATTATGGGCTTACCCAGGATTTCAATCGAGAGGGAGAAGATAAACATTTATCTTTACGTAAAACTTGTTTAAATACACATATTAAAACTTTTTTTAGAGAATCTTTAGTGAACTTTTAACGAATTATAACTCACGCATTGATAAAAATGAGCCAATAATTTTAACTTTTTATTACTTGTAAAAATTATTTTTATAATTTAACCTTTCACGTGCAACTAGAGTTTTCAAAGACACCATTGATATTTTAATTGTAAATTTTAGTGGAAAAATTTAAATCTGAAAAACATATAATATAATATAATATTATTCTATAATAATAATAATAGTAAACACTTGTTAAAATTTTGACAAGTATGCTTGTATACCAGAATTTTTTCAGATTTCTGTATAATTCTGAACGTTAAAAAAATTGCTGTGTTTCTCAAAGATTCTTGTTGCCGGCAGAAGCCTAGAATTAAAATTTATATTAACAGCGGAGGGTTAAAATACTTATATTAAAGCCAATCTTCGAGGATCTTCAGCGAACTTTCGCGTGAATAACGCATAATCACACATTGGCCAATGAACATTTAACTTTTCCTCGTAATTATAAACGCTTCGGAGTTGGTAGAACAATATACTAAAAAATAGCAGCAATACAACTTGTACGCTTAATTTGAATACAATAATAATTGTATTAAGTATTAAGTTACTAGTAACTTGAGATGATGTTTTTGAACGTAGTCGAGCAAGTAAGTTGAAGAGGGAGGGACGAGGGTGTTGGCGTCTTCTTACTCTATGTACGATCAAAGTGGAGAACCTGGAAACACGTCGTTCGCATTCGAAACCGGGGGAGGGGCGAGATGGTGGTGGTAGTGATTCTCGAAGCCATTCTCGACGGTGAATGAACGTCACTTGAAGCGAACCTTGTTTGCGCGAACGGCCGCGTTTCTCCACGGCGTGATTTTCGCGTACGTCGAAGAAACACCGAGCAATTAAGGCCCTTCTTCTGGATTCGACAGCCACTCACGTCGTATCCTCGACGTTTCCGGAACGCTCGCGGAATTCTTTGCGTCGCTGTCGCGTCTCCTCCAAACGTTTTCGCATTTAGGGGTCGATTCCTCCGACGTGCGGTTAACGCTTGTTTCTCAACTCATCGCACGTTCTTTCTATTACGTCTGCTGTAACCACCGTGTTACAAGCGTGATTATGACGTAGGAAACAAAAGAGCATTTAGAGCCTTGCTACTGGTTTCTCTGTTATTCCCTTTTGTTTCCTCATTTTACAGAGAAACCTTTAGAAAGGATCGATCGAGAAAATCAAGGAGTTATTGCTTCGCGTAGAGTCAAGAACGTACAAGGGATTGTTCTCTCGCGCACTAAGACAAGGCTTCTAATCAACAGTTTTCCAATTTCCGTAATTGATTTTTTATATGTACATTAAATGTTGTACATAAAGTTTACAGAGTACTAATATTAATTAACGATTAATATATATAAAGAGTAACGTCGATGGAAATTTCTCTCCATCTCTTTTTTATATTTTTATATAAATTATATAATTTTTATTGTTTTTTATATCGCTTATTTGTTAGATGCAACGAACAAATAAACAAAAAAATTAAAGAAAATTAATTAATTAAATAATATATTAATTTTAAAATGAAATTTTGGTGTAATAATTGATTTGTAGACGAATAAAACTTGATCTTTTAAAGTATATATATTTTTCTTTTTTTTATATACGTTGTTTGTGTGTATTTAACTAAAAATTATAGTTTTTGAGTATATGTCGTTGTTACAGTAAACGAGTGATGTATTAAATTTTTTATAATTTTTTATATTTTTTTGTATTTTTAAAGATTCGCAACTAAAAATTAAACCATAGCCGTTCCATTGCGACTTTAGACCTGTTGAGCTAGAAACACTTTTCATATAATGTCGTCGGCCACCCTTGTCATGGAAGCCGTCTTATTACGACGTCGGTATACCGCCGCGATACGGCACAGCAACTCGCTTATAATCCGATTTCATTGTTGTGTTGTTGTCGTCGTCGTCGTCGTCACAGCAGTTCGTACAAGCGAGATTAAAGCGCGACATCGTGGCCGCAAAAAGGAGGTAAAATTGAGGAGAACGTAAAGGGGCATCGGTGAGGGTTGATTTTTAATTCATTCGTGGGTAGTTGAGTACTGCCCGACACAACTCGTCAGACTACCTCTTAAGTTAATGCCGCGACCAATCCTGGTGTTTATGAGACAGAAGATAAACCGTTTAATTTTCACTGGATTTTCGCATTAAGTATTCAGATAATTTGTTCTACATAAATTGGAAATAAATTCATATAAATTCATTTGTAGTTTCAAAGTTCATTGAAAATTCATTTTTTAAATGTATGTACTTTACAGAAGATAGACATAATAAGTATGAATACCTGGGAAATACCCTATTTGTTATTTTTGCTTTATTAATAAGAGACTGGCCTATATTATTTGCTTTTAATACATATATTCTATCGTTGATGGACATTTTTCAATGATTGAATATAATTATAAATGAAATGTACTAATTCTTTTAGTAGAACATTTTCTAATTACTTATATGTATAAATGATATTGAAGAAGGAAATTTTTTCTTACTTTACTTTTAATTGAATAATTACTAATGAAATTTTGTATTATTCTTTTAAAAGAAAAGTTTGTTATGTACTCTTCAAAATTGACCTATATTTTTTAAAACCAATATCTTTCTTGGCCAATACAATCATCTAATTTAAATGTTGTATGTAGTTTTGAAGAGTGAAAAACAGATTTTCTTCTCCAATATTTTTTGAACAATTACAAGATATTTTAGAAGATAGCATTGCAGCAGTTGTTACACTATTCGTGTATGTATGACTATTTTGCTCAAAATGGAATTCAATTTTTTATTTTGTTTATTTTATACATACTTTATATATATATATATCCGTTTTTTTGTGTAATTAACTAAAAATGATACGAATCTAATTAAGAACAAATGGTAGGCCTCAACTTTTTATAAAATATAAGTTGATAGAATATTATTTTTCCAGATACTTTATTTTATGTATCTGTATATTTTATAACGTCAGAATCATCGATCGTTTCTAAATAATGTTTGGTCTACCATTCTCTTTGTCTGCGGTACATAATATAATGTGATTATATACGCTGTTCCATTTACAAAATTGGTTCGGTTTATCAGATGAACACATATAACTTAAAAATTCCATTTATTATATATTCCATTTCATTGCCGTGGGATATTTATATTTCCTCTACGCTATACATACAAATTTGTTCGTGCGATTAATTGATCAACTGATTAATTAAATCAATTATCCGCTAATAACTCGTAATCCACAAATTATTTTTAATTATCTGCCTCTTGTTCTGTTCTATATTGTATTGATTGACACGCTCAAATAAAAATATCCGCCACTCGTACGGGCTCCATTCCAGCACGTGAAAGAAAGATGAGAGGAGGGGAGGGGGGGAGGGGATTAAGGTGGGGCGCCTCTGAAATATCCATCTTCCTTAACCCGGTAAGAAGCGCGTTTTCCGATCAGTTAAGCCCGACTAAACCTCAGCGACGTTTCTAAGAGAGCCTTGGAACGAGCTAGGAAAAGTGGTAAGGTAAAAAAGACTAGGAAAACCAGCGACGAAGCCGAGAGAGAAGGATGGATTTTGGTGGGTTCTTTCTGAAGTGAGTGTGGAGGAAGTGTCGTGCTTTCGAGTTCGACTAGATAGAACCGTGATTGAAAACACCGCTCCCGGCGACACAAGCTTAAATAAATGTACGCACACACACCCAACGAAGGTGTAGATGTGCTTGTACATTCTTTGACTTCCCACCGCCGCATATGGAATAATATAAGTGGTCGAGAATTCGACAAGTTCTCTATCTCGCGCGCGAGAATGAAACACGGATGAAATTTTTGGACAGACTTTGGTTGGCTACATCTGTCTTTATCTACTAGAATCGTGCGAGCTTGATTCTTCTTCGCGCCCCGTGTCGGAAGAGCCCGAATACGGTCTTCTACTTCTCTCTGGCGATTTTATAGAGTGGAAAATTGACATTATTTCTTAAATGTCAAAGTATATAGTAATTATGCACACTATTAAATTCATAATGTTAAATTATTATACCCGTATAATTTTTATTTTTATTTTATTTTTATTATTTCTGTAGATCTCGCTGCTTCTTTTATACGCTACGTAATAATATATCGTTAATTTAGCTAAAACGCGATGACGTTATAAAAATAATTTAACTCAAGAAAATATATTAAATTTGACTCAAATGTTAATTATTATTTACTAAATGCATACTTTAATATGGACACAATTTTTAACTAACACAAAAATGGATTGATTCTGACGCACATGGAAGTTAATAATAACAAAATGTTATTTAACTCAAAGAATTAGGTTACTATTGTCCGTTTGATATCTAACAATGGACTTGGAATGTTCTAATATGTTTTGTTAGCAATAGCTCTATATTTTGATATAATCTTTGTTTTTGTATTCTTTAACATTTTATTAATTGTTGGCCAACTGTCTCAAAGATAAAACTAATTCGTTAAATTTTTCTGTGTTAAAATTCTAATATTACCGTTCGAAAGTTTGGAAGCACTATTTTTTTAGAAGAAAAAAACAGTATTGTTACTTTCAAAACGCCATGGGAACTTTGTGGCATTTACGAAACGAACTGGATAATTATCTTAAAAAAAATATATATATTTATATATATATACATGAAAGCGTATCTATATTTAGACAATTACTAAAACGTGTTGTAGGCTTGGCAGGACATTAATGAGATTATTTTTTTATAGATATTACACGATCCTAACATCTTTTCTTATTTATGAGATCATTTATATCTTTTTTCCTTTCTAGGCTATATATTTATGGTGACGTAGACATTAAGTTCTCAGCTCATTTTATTCGACGACTCACTAGGGATCCATTCATTTTGTTTCAGGTTAAGCTCGACAAGAGTCACAGTGGCAAACCTTCCAGAGTCATTCATATCAGGAATATACCTAACGAGGTGACAGAGGCAGAGATCATCCATCTAGGTTTGCCGTTCGGCCGTGTTACCAATGTACTTGTTCTCAAGGGCAAGAATCAGGTAAGTTCAGGATTAATTACAAATCTCTTACTCGATTATTATCTATTTCAAAAGACGCATGAAAGATCATTGTAAAATTAATATTGATGTCTAAAAGAAGAATATCTCATTTACTCTGGTTGTCTGATCGCAGTATCTTTCGGCACTGCAAATGGCGCCATCGTTCCGTATAACGGCGCCGTTTGCACGTGCTCTGCGACATTGTACTCTTGCCGGACTGGAGATGAGAGTGTTGCAGCATGCTCGAGAGGGAGAGAGAGAGAGAGAGAGAGTGAGTGAGTGAGTGAGTGAGTGAGTGAGTGAGTGAGTGAGTTTGTGCCGCATGAATGACGCGTTTCGACGACCGTGACGCGCATGGATGGCCGTGCAATAGCGGAGACAATCGAATCGCCGATACGCGGTTGAGTCTAGTCGAGTCGATTCGAGTCGAGTCGAGTTGACGATCGTCCGTTTAAGCATTATTATCCATTATTACCCGCACCGCATTCCGCCCCGCGTCGCGACAAAGGCGACCGTGCTCTTAACCCCATAGAAGCGCAACCCTTCGGCGTATCGTCATCCTCGTCAACTCTGACCTGCCAGCAACTCGCCCTTTCTATCGATGTTCGTTCGTGACGCTACACGCATCGCAAGGCTATTATTTCATACGGTGAGAGAGGTTTATCGAGTTCGAGTGTCGGTTTATCAAGCAACATTTCCTATCGACCAGCTTGTTTCGATCTCGTGTTATCTACTGTAGATGCTGTGCTTAAATATACTCCCTTACTTCAGTGATAAGAGAGGGTTGAAGAGGTATCTTTTTCTTTCGGTCGTTTTTGGTTTCCGTTGATTCGCAAAGTCTTACGTATCTCTGATATTATTTATTTTGGGTTAGAACAAAAATTTGTAGCGCTACTTCATTTGTATCATATGTATTTTTTTTTAAATACAGAGCAACTCAACATTTGATACAGCAAAGTTTCAGCTTTAAGAATCTGTTTTTTTTTTTATAGCGATATGTGTGATGAATCGTGAGCAATCAAAGTCAAAATACTTCATTTATTTTACGATAACTTAATAACAAAAAGTCTGAAGAACATCTTTAAAAATTTGTATAGGGATAATTAATTGTAAGCTTTTTTTCACGTTAGAAAATTGAAAAATTTTGCAAATTTTTTTTTGAGTAACATATTCATAATATGTGCAAAGAAAATTTCTAGATAATTTTATCCAGCTTATAATTTTCTATATGTAAATTACATTACCAAACTCACAGAAATTTAAAAACATTTTTCGAAGATGGAGTTTTTAAACTTTAAAGCCCTTTTTTGAATTTTATTTATTTTAAAAATTACAGTTGCTTAAATTTTGAAATTCTTAGCGTTACAAATTTTTCAAATCAATGTATAATTTAATACTTAATTTTTTATTATTAAGTGAATATGTGGATCAAAATGGACCGAAAGAAATGCAGCATAAATGAATGAAGAGAGCTATTATTCGGTCAAGACGGATTTTAGTCCTTAATAATAATTTCGAATTGGTAAGACGCTCATACGAAATAAAGGAGATTTGAATCCCTACTGAGATATATATCTTTCACGATAAATTCTTTACAATATTTAAAAAATCATTAGTATCAACAATATTAAACCGAATTTGTGATATTACATACTCTAAGAGCTTTAGTTTAGAACTGTGTTTTCAGACCGGCAAATAATCGGCGCGCAATTTACTTGAACTTAAATTATACAAATTCACACACGCATAAATATTATATAATTAATTATAAATATATTAAGACATTAAGACTCACCCAAATATAGCTCTTTTCACATTTATTCTTTTTAAATATAAATATTATTAAAAATTTACATTCCCGTATGAAGAGGAATTCTTCATTAACGAGGAAATAAATTATCTACCGCGTTTTAGTAGCAGTAATTTGGTTGATATAAATTTTAATGCTTCCCCTTCACTGCGCGTTACGGTTGGATCAAAACCGATGGAATGGCAAATTCGGAGCAATTTCGTGGCGTAACTATCGCAGTGGCGCGATCGAGTTTTACGAACGATACTAACCATCCGCGATCTCTCCCGGAGTACGCTCAATTACGCACAAACGAAATTACGTTTACGCGAGCGTGTGCGGGCGTCGTTCCGGCCTGCGTGATCAAAATATCAATTCGTTTTGGTGGCATTAATTTCCTGCCCGCACGTGCGACAATACTCGCTAGAAGGTTAACGTCTCTTCATAAAGCGCTGCGGGTTTTGCGACGTGCAACGTCTGCGACACGACGGCGTATTCAAATAATGATGCTTGTCCATCTCTCAACACATCACGACTTTGCGCCCGCATATGATGCAATTACTGTCAGTGTTCTTAAAATACACTCAAATGCTCTGATTTCTTATCTACATGTTTACAATCAATTTTATATATCGTGAACAGTGTACGAATTAGGTACGTACATAGAATATCTACACGAATATTCATAATTAATTTAATGGAACAATAATATTGTTTATATTGTTAAGAAATGATTAATATGTAAGTTTTTATATTTTGTTATAGATTATACAATATTATATAATTTAATGTTAAATATTTTATTATGAAAAGAATATGGATTATCTACATGAATATTTATGATGAATTTAATCGCGAAGTTGTTTATATTATTTACATTGCCACAGCAAAATTATTTATATTATTTATAATACCGTGGAATAATTCACAGTAGATAGTTTTTTATATTCTACTAACGTTATAAATTATATAATATTGTATAATCTAATGTTTAAATGTTTTAATATTATTTATATATGTTTTAAATGTCATATACTTTTTATGTTCACATATTACGCTGTTTCTCATGCTTAATTTTTAATGAATTTAAAGACAATTTTGAGACACGTGTAGGAAAGAGTTTGATTATATGTTTCTTTCATAAATTACTTTTTATTGCGCTCTGTATCATTGTTTTATGCTATCTACATAAATAGAATTTTATATAAAAATGAGCAATGTACATCCAACGCACTGCCACAATGTCTCTACAAAATCCCGCAACTTCCAGTTGCAATGATTACTTTCAGCAATGTAAGCATGGATTGCAAAAATGGACCAACAACTTCATGTTGTGTATATACGCTGTGCCAGATTTCGAGTAATGTAGGTAGTCGGTATATCAAAACTTCGCATATTCTCTTCATGTTTCAATGCACTAAAAATTTATGTTTCGTGAATTTTGATACTCTAAAAAATTAATAACTATATCCCTCGAAATAATATATATAGTATATATTAAATACGACAAAATCCACTTTTAATATTTCACCATCATATAAAACCGATATCAAAAAGAGAGTGTTTGTATTTATGTATAGAAGAAAGGTCTATTTATAATTTAAACATATATCCAGTAAACGTCACTGGTAAAATTCACAGAATATTTTATTAATTTTACTAATAAAAACGAGTAAATAATATAGGATTATATTTTCCTATCCTTTTTTAATCTCACTTAACATTTGTGCTCGTGCCAGACCGATCAATGATTCGTCCGAATTTACTGGCGGTGCACCGAAATCCGCTTTACCGCAAATTATTCCAGGAGAGGGATGTTTTTTATGCCGGCGATTCCTCGAGGTCGCGCAAAATTTTTTCGATACGAATTAATGGCGAATCGTCTGAAATCAGGGGAGGGTCGAGTACGAGCGGCAAGGATGTGATTTGAGGACGGAGGGGCTTCGAAGGGGATTAAATTGGAACACCGAGTATTCATCATAGCTTACCGAGCGGGGAATATTTGAATAACTTGTAAATCCTCCCCCGAATGCGTATTTGATGGCGCGCTTCGATTTTGAATTCTCTCACGGCTCGTTTTAGTTCCCCTCTGCCAATGTCTAATCTCCCCTCTATACTCCCGATTCGATCATACTCCGCCGAGGCCCTCGCTGTAAATCTCTAATACATAATTTTAATCAAAAGTTAACTCATTACGTCGATAAATGATCGCTACCTCTAATCTTGCTTCAAAGTACTTGTTGGGTTACATTATTAACAAAATGACTGGAGTGCAGATTTTGATTTGATACGTTATAACAATCTTAAAATTTATTCTTATTTAGTACGAGTATGTTTTATGTGTATATTTTACGTGTATTGTACAAATCAAGAACATTCTGAATTTTCTCTTACTATTTTTAAAGCGATGTTTGCACTAGTAGCAAGTGAAATTAATTTCGCGAATTACGATAACGCTATTACGATATAGTGTTGTTTCAACGTTCTCGTTATTTTGATTGCGCTTCGAGAAATTTGAACCCTTTGGGTATAAAATCAGGATATATGTATGGAATGCATGAACCTTTCATCGTTTGCGTGTCGCTTCAAAGCGCATTGCCTAATCAGCGTGGTTAATTGCAGTATGCGCTTTGCACGAGATACGCAATAGGCGAAGCGCCCTATTTGGAATCCATTAAATGACTGCACTATAAACGGACACAGAACTCCTTCAAAGGAATGTTTGTTCAATCATCATTACATTACTCCTAGTCTTGCAAGGTAATTCCCTATTTATAGTATATCTTCGTATCGTGAACAGCTTCAACAAAAGGATTGAATTGTGATATCTATCAAACCTCGATATCAAATATTCGCTGTGCAAATATTTCCGATCTCTATCCATTCTAAAATATATCTGATGCATAAACGACATCAATATCGCGATAGCAATCTTCATAGAAACGACGAAAAATTCTCATGCTTTTTTCCACGCGTTTTATTGTGTTTATTTTGAAAAATGTTTTATCTGTATATACAAAACAATTTCAATTTGAGTAAGTGGTCTCGAAAATCTTTTTCTAATGTCAATGTCAGTCCTGTATCATACATGTTCGATATCTACAAGATCGCAACGTGTTACGCGACACGTGCGGTTTTACGTATAGTGGAAGTCTCGCGCGTTGTTTGAGCACCGCCACTAATGCGTATGTAATTTGCACGAGGGGATAAA